TCATATATCCATGTGAATTTTAAAATTTTATGTATGGTTATTTCATCTCCAAACCCATTGCTTGATAGAGTTTGTCTAGATTGGATGAAAAAAGCCCCACTAAGAGCATCTCTAAAAGACTTTTTATATGACCCAAACTCTTTATTATAAATAGTTTATCCATAAAACAAAAGTTTAATAGGCTTTTTATTCTTTAAATATATATTAAAAAGTGAGTTTGACTCTCTACATCTATAAAGTCAAATTTCAGTCTCTATCCCTATTTTATTTAATAAATTACAAGTTTTTATTCATTTCATTGTTAATTTTCTCTCATATTAAGTATCTCTTATATTTATTAAGTCTAATTTAAAGAGTCCACTGGATTTAAATACAAATTTTGTTTTTTATATTTAGAAATAAATGAAGATATTCTTTATTTATGTGAAATATATTCTTTAAAATAAAGAGCACAATTGAAGATGCTCTAACAATGCTGTCTAATACCTTAATTAGTATCTTACAAGTAATAACCAAGGATGGAGTAAACATTGGATAAGTTAGATCTACGGTCAATAGGTTCTTAAAAAAAACTACTAAATTCATTGAGTTGCTCCAAAGAACCAAACTGGTTGGTTATTAATGAAATTCTTTATTGGCTCTATGTAAAATACTCGTTTGAACAAAAGCTCTAAAAAACATTGTAAGTTAAACTCGTGCTGATGAATAAGAATAACCAATATCAAATACTAGTAATAATATTAGTAAAAGAGCATTCTCATATACCTCCAGATACGCTGGACACCACATATTCTTGTACAATTAAAAGAGGAATCGATTCCCTAAAATATAAATAATTAGGAGGAAGTTCAACCTTGAACCCATTCGTGGGTAATTTAGATGGTTAGGGCGAATTTAAGATAGTGTGGATAGGTGTACAATCTCAGGTTCGATTTTCCATCTAAACATCCACGATTTAGGTGGGGGGTAGTGGCGACAGGTTGTTGTACTAGTTTCTCTCAAGGATTAGTTGAGATGCACATAAACTGACTCAAACATCTTGGTTAAGAAAAAAAAAGGTTCAACCTCGAATAGAATTTAAAGGCACTTTAAATACAACCAACTTCTGTCTTAATTTATTTACATTTGAAGTAACAAATATAAAGAGCGTATTGTACAAGTGCATACAAAAAACATAAAATGCACCGAAGAATGGAGGGACAAGATGGAGACAACTCAAAGCATTTTAAATAGATCCATTTTAAATTCATACAGATCGGGTACGGCCCATGTTTATATTTCATATAGTGAGCCCATGTTAGTTAAAGGTTTAATGGATTTGGGTGGACCAAGCCATCCAACTTAGAAAACAATCTAATATATTAAAGAGTGCGTTTGGATCATATAATATTTATTATAGGGAGATATTATATTAATAAAAAGATAGATTACCTTAAAGATTATTAGAAATAATTAGAAAAATATATTTGGTTGGTTGGAATAAATTGGTGAGTATGTTATATTTATATGTTTGGTTAGGAGGATAAATGGTGGATATTTTATATAGATTACTAAATTGCCTTTTTTTTTTTCTTTTAAATATTAATATGATATTTTTTGAATCATTTTTTAACCCCCCTACATTTGAAATTTTGCTGAAACACCTCAGCCATATGATAAAACTTTAAATTGTAGTAAAATCACCCCCACCCAACCCAAGCTACTGCCGGTAGCCAACCACCACCGTTGACTACTATCGGTAGTCAACAGAGTGGTGCACAATCGGCCGTATATGGCCAGTCATGCGCTGATAAAGCTATTTTCGGTCATGAATCACAAATCTATGGCCATTCACGGCCAAAGATGTGGCTGTGAAATGGCCATAGATCTGGCCTTGAAACAACCATAGAAAAGGCCTTATTGGTGCACGACCGGCTAGATCCTATCGATCGTATGCCATTATAGTGACTGCCGCCAGTTGTCGGTTGTGGTAGCTGGTGGTGGGTGGTTGGGGGTATTTTGTTAACTTTTAAATTTTTTTGTGGCTCTAATGTTTTAGCTAAATTCTCAAATATAAGGGAGCTAGGTAATTGGTTATTTGGTAGATATTTGAGAGCAATTGTATCCAAAATGATATTTACTTAAGGGCAAAAAAGGTATAAAAATCAGATTACTTTAGTAATCTTTTAATAACACCTCTTGGGGAGGATATCTGATTACCCTCTATATTATCAACCGTAAAAACTACTTACAATAAAAGATATCTATAATATTTTATTATTTGCAAATCAAACAACAAAAATTTACAAAATAAGGAAAGATTACCCTGTTATCTTATATGACCTCGAACGAAACTCACCCAAAGAAACTCCATTTCTTAAGATACCTCATTTCAAAGTTTTAAAATTAATTTTGTTTCTAATGGCACCCCGTAAATTTCATAGAGCCCTTCATTCGGCCTTTTTTTTTTCTTTTTTTTTTTAATTTATTTAAAAGATTAACGTTGCATTTCCTGTATCTATGTTGTATACCACCCACTAACGTTATTCCTAAAACAAAATTTTAGATAATAATATTGAAAGTTCAGGAATTTTTTTTTTTAAAAAAAAATCCTTAAAAATAATATCAAGAACATAATAGAGTTAAACAACAACAACAACAACAACAACAACAACAAAAAAAAAAAAAAAAAAAAAAACTATCAATATTTTGAAGAAAAAAATAACAGACTGCAAACAATCTCATATTTCAAATCCTATTGTGATTATTCATTCTCAAAAAAAAAAAAAAAAAAAAGGTTTATAAGATAATAATGGGGTTTCAAAAGTATTAAAGTTAATTTTAACAATTTAATATAAGGATAAATCTGTTGTTATAAAATTAAATAAAGATTGAGACTTCTTTAGTCTATTAGTGAGATGCCAATAGATCCACTCCGGCGTATTATACAACTATATATTGTTTTGTTTCCTGTCTTTGTAAAGTAATCTTTTATTTTGTTGGAGATCCCACGTCAATTAGACATGCTTTAATCAACTGATTTATAAGAGGGGATAATCTCTTTATTCAATAAGAGTTTGTTGGGTAAGTAGTTAGGCCCAATTTCAACAATTTTTTTTTAATTTAAAAAAAAAGACAAATTAAAATTTGGAGTTCTTGTAAATACAAAAAGTTGGAGTCCAACATGCAACAACTATTAATATTAACGAAGGAATAATACTATATTTATAATTCATTCTTATAAATTTTCTCTCACAATCTCTTAGATGACTATTTCAGTTTTTTGTTAATGAATTTTTTATCAGAAAAAAACAAAAAATTGATATGTATAGATTATAAAAAAAAGTTTATGAGATTGAGTTATAAGCCTACCTCTATTATTTATGAAGATGTCATTGTGTACGTTGATCGACATGCTTGACACTCTCAAAAAAAATCGTCTCGATAATTTTAAATTGGATATGATACGTTCTCTCATAATTAAAGTAATCATGTAATGTAATGCGTAAGTTACACGTATAAGTTAAATAGATATGTATAATTTTCCAATGTGCAGGTGGAATTTGGTTGATCTGAATGATTTTCAGAATTGTCATAAAAATTGCAGGTGACATAATTTCAGTGGTTACAGTAAAGTTGAAATAGTGTTCTCCCATTAGCGTCAAGTCATTTTCTACTGAAGCGAGAATGGTCCATTTTATTTAATAATTTTGTTCACTTTATCTCTTTCAAACTCAGAAACTTGAGTGAGATATGGTCTACATCATGTCATCACCAAGTATATTCCAAATCCATCACCAGAACTCAAATTGAATTCGGCACAAGTAGACATACGCTTGTTGAAATTATAAAAAGATCACATTAGCTATTCTAAAAGAGACATTACACCTTGTCTTTGCTCCTATCATTTCTCACTAACCAACAAAACAAAGGGACACATCAATTCCCCTCCTCCTTCAACTAAATTTACTCAAATTTTTCATTTTTTTTTTTCTCCAAAACTATATCCAATTTGAATAACAGTAATGAGTTACTAGAGTTAAGGTAGAAAGGTTTTATAGAGAACAAACAAAAGAATTTTTGCTATCAGAATTGGTCGAAATGACTTGGGTAGTAATAGAATATTATATTTTACTTTTAATTTGAAAAAGAAAAACGAGAAATTGAAGAAAGGGTATCTAAGGAAGTGCACATAATTCGGGACAAGGCCTACCCAGAAACCAAGGACATGCTAAGAGGGGAGCTCTTTTTCAGTTTTTCTGCATGTGTGTGTTCTGACTTTTCAAAAGCAGGAAAATGGGAAAAAAAAAAAAAAAAAAAAAAAAAAAAAAAGAAAAGAAAGGAAAACCTGCAGCCACTAAAATCTAGGAACACAGAGACAAGAGGAAAAACCATAACATGTAAAAATGTATTTATATATAAATATAAGTAGTATGAAACTAAAGCATACAATAAGTAAAATACAAAATAGGACAACCATGAAATTGAGTGTCTTCTTTTAACTATATTAAGTTGTCCTTTGTCACATGGTCAATCATCAAACATATGGGAGAAAATTTGACCAGATCCATATAATCTTACAGTTACAGATATGCATCAAAATTATTGCTTCCTTACTAAAACCCTTTTTCTTTCTGTTCATATCATATCATTGTCACTCATAATATCAACCATTCAAATCTTCCATCTCTGTGTTCATCAGAATCCTCTCAAGATAATTATAAATGGAGAAGACGCAGAGATTTTTTTTTTTTTTTTTTTTTTTGTCATTAATAAGAAATTAGTTATATTGATTTCCAAAACACTCTCTGAATACAAATACTTTGTCTTAAGTAAAAATCAGTGAACAATTATATTGCAGGGAATTTTGGTCACATAAATACCAAAAGAAGATAAAGCAAAAATAGAATGGGACAAGACAACCATGAAAGCAAGGGTTACCTGTCATTTTTGTTTCTCCAAACCATGTGCCATGAATTATATCGTTCTCCATCTAACTTTCCTTCTTCCTCTTTATCTTCTTCTTTTTCATGCACCCTCTCTTTCTTATCCTCTCATTCCACATCAAAAAAATTAACCAGATATAGAGTAATTAATCAAACCACAATCAATCCGGCCCTTAATTAAAAAGAAACGAAACCAATCATTTCTTCTTGTTCTTGTCTTTGCCATTGAAGAAGATTGAACCTAAACCGAATAAATTCCCTGATGGGACATTCAGAACTACTGGATTAACATGAATACCATTCCCATAAGATCCGTAATTCTTCTTCAACGGCGGCTTCTGATGATTTGTTGAAGACGATGAATGTGGTGATCTTATAGACGGTGGTTGTTTCTGTGTATTGTTATTACTGTCCTTCGACAATGCAGCTCGCTTATCATTTGTAGCAGAACCGGTTGAGTTGCTGCGGTGTAAAAGTGGAGGCAAAGGACACAAACTCCTCCCATAACCACTGCCACAATTCAAACTACTACTTCTTTTGAACCTCCAAAAGGATTTGGAACTTTGCTTATTGTTGTTATTATTGTTATTATTCTCATCTAAATGATCATCCTCATCGCCGGCTTCGTCCCTCATTACTACTATCTTGCTTCTTTTCAGGTTCACTTCTTTTGTTTCTTCAGGATTCTTAGTGCCTGGAGCAGCTGGTATTGGCAATGTACTCAAAACTTTAGGATTACTGTAATTAGTCTTTTTCTTGACTTGTGTGGGAAGAATTTTTCCATCGGAGAAAAGCTCATCAGCTGAAGACGAATCTTGACCGAAGCTTTTCCGAACACAGAAGTCGAAATCAATGCCTATTGAATTTGATCTACGCGGGTGTTGCTCCACTGCAGGCACGATATCAGACTGGCAAAAATCATGAGAAAAAGAAATTCTCGGACTCACACCAGAACTTTCAAGTTCAATCGCCATTAATGTTCTCCTGAAAAACTTTCAACGAAAAAAAAAAATATTACAAGATGGAAAAAGAACATGGACAAGTTCAGTGTTTTATAAGCAACCAGAAGCCATTAGCCATAGCTAACTAGCATTAAAACACTATAAAGTAGCGTAAACCTAACAAGGCTAAAACGAGTAGTGAGAAATTTAATGGGGTTTGAAATAATCCAGGAACAGGGTGAAATTTGAAAGAGATATCTAAAGGGAGATGAAGATAAGGACTTGTGAGCTATCTCAGTGCAATAAATTGTGACATTGAAGGGGATTTTGAGAGAGGGGGAAGGGAAGAGAGAGAGAGACTAGAGACTAGAGACTAGAGACTGAGTGTTGAGTGAAGATGAAATAGAGCGACGTGAAGAGATTTTTATGCACTAAAAGCCGGGTTGGGTGGAGTTGGTTTGGTTGAAAGGAAATTAAAAGAAATAGATAGAATTAATTACAATAATAAGAAGAGGAAGAAGAAGAAGAAGAAGAGGAAACAGGTAGACATGTTTTAACTGAGTGACGTGGATGGAGATTATTTGCTAGATTATATGGCATGCAAATTTTGGCTGCTTTTCTCTTGGGAGTATTTTTCAAACGGGAAACATATGGATTATCATACGTTTGTTTTTAAATGATTGACGGTGTTGGAGCTAATATAGGTTTACATCAATTAATTATTAGGACCCTAAAATTATTAGTCGAATAAAAGCTCTAATAACTACCTATTAGTAACCAAGAAAAGATTTAAAACTCAAGATCTCTTTAATATTATCATAAGTTTCTTTATTAGTAATTAATAACAACTTTTTTCAAAGATTATCCACAAAAATAAATATATTTTAAAAAGTAAAGATTAATAAAAATAGGGGGTTCTACTTGTTCTAATGAAATATATTTTCATTCTCTAATTGTATTACAATATAATGTAGAAAAGATTTATTTATTTGAGAACACCAATTATTAGTATATATAAAAAGTATAATTATTTTAAGAGTAAACGACATATTCCCACCCAAGGTTTGACGAAATCCCAAGTTGGGCCCTAGTTATATTTATTCCAGATTCCCACCCTTAAAGTGATGGAAAAGTGTTTGATGTAGCGGTAAAGGGGTAAATTGGTTATTTTGGATGGATGACGCACGTTAGTAGATTATCGCCTCTAACAATCTTTTGGTGCACGTTAGCAGACAATGTCCCCGACGTTTTTTGCCCTTTTTCCTATGATTCTTCCACCCAAAATTACTTTTGTCACCACCATTTGAACTCTCATCCCCCCCTCTACAAAACCTTACCCTTCACAACCCCTCATCACTCGCCGATCGCCGGCCACGACAGCTACGACATGTAACTGGTTTTTGCCGATTTCCAGCCGTTTTGAACGGCGACAACCCCAACGACCACCACCATTTGACTATTCCTGTCCTCCCATACAAAACCCTTAACCTTCCCAACCACGATAGCTCACTGTTTGCTGTCCACCACTTCACCAAAAAAGGTTCGATGAACATGAACTCTCAGCCCACAAACAGCGACTAAACGGTTGCTAGGGACATAGGGGTTTTATAGAGTTGGAGGCGCTGGTTGCAGTGGTGGTGTCCAATTGGATTTTCGCCGCCAGAATCGACCGAAATCCGGTGAAGAACAAAGAAATCCTAAGCTGAACGACGCCGACGATTGGAGGGGCTAATGAGTCGGGAACTAGAGGGATTTTGGACTTAAAACTACGGGGAAGGTGATGGAGGTGACCAGGGGGTTTGACGCTATTGGAAACAGCCCAGATCAGGCAAAAATCAAGAGGGTATGCAGTGACCAAGGGTGTTGTTGAGATAATTTGAAAATAAAATGGTAAGTTATAATTCTACTAATTTAGGGGTTAAAATGTAATTTAATAATTTAGAGTTAAAGGCATTATGGTAATTGCACCCCCTAAACCCTAAAAATTGCTAGCAGTGTTATTTTAAGGATGGGAATCTGGAATAAATGTAACTTGGGATTTCGTCAAACCTTGGGTGGGAATACGTTGTTTACTCTTATTTTAATTTCCCATGAAGAAAATTGGTGAAAACATAAGGAGGAAGTGATGATATACATATTTTAAGTTTATTTAAATCTTTGAAAATTCTCCATTATGAACTTAAATTTAGATTAAAAGTGCAAATTCAAGCTAAAAAAAAGGCCTTTTGTTTTAATTAGACTATATATATATATGTGTGTGTGTGTGTGTGTGTGTGTGTGTGTGTGTGTGTGTGTGTGTGTGTGTTTGTGTTTGTGTGTCCAGCATCAAGTAAAAATCTTATTAAAAAAATAATTTAATTCAATATTTTTAATAACAATAATATATTTATTATAATAATATTCATGTTTCAATATCAAAGAGAATAGTATATGTGAAAATATAATTGCAATTAATAAAATCTAATGCGTTTGCTTTGTTATTTTGGATAGGATTGTGAGAATAATATTAGGTAGTTGAATAGAGTGAGTATTACGAGGTAAAATTTAAAAATTAACAAAAAAACTCCCATAGGTTTACTAATTTAACTAAACACCCCAGTATATAATTTTTTTTTAAAATGACAAAAATAACCCACCCACCCACAGTGCTAGATTCCGGCCACTACCATCGGAATCTGGCCGAAAAATGGCGTTACGACATAGACCGGTCATGAGTCGATATGGCCTTTTCCGACCAGATCCACCATGGATCTGACCTGAAAAGGCTAGATCTACGGCTAGATCTAGCCGTCGATGGTCGCAAAAGGCTAGGTTTGACCGTCAACGATGGCCAAAGATATGACTGTCGTTGTCGGTCAACAACAGCCAAGATTTGGCCATCTTTGACCATCAACAACGGTCATTTCTTTGGCCATCGCTGATGGCCAGATCTACTATGGATTTGATCGGAAAAGGCCAGATCAGTGAATTACTGACCAATTTCGGTCATTTCTATGCCGTTGTAACAGATTCTGGCAATCGTCCACGGTGGTTGCCTGAATCTGGCAACTATGGGTGGGTGTAGGTGTTTTTATTAATTTTTAAACTTTTTTTTTCAGGGGTGTTTAATTAAATTAATGAACTTAAGGGGTTTAAAAGTAATTAAAAAAATAGAATAGTATTTCCCAAATAATTAAACAAACATGTATTTTGGGAATAGGATTGGGAATAATAAAACAAATGCACCCTAAATTATTTTCCATTGTTGATGAAAAGGCATGTACAATATGGGACCCATAAATCCAGTTCTCTACTGAGTTGTATTAATTTTGTTGGGGCCCTTAACATTTGAAGTCAAAAATAAAAAAGAAACTATCCCATCGTAATATTGAAAGAGACTAGCAAAAGAAGTTGGATTATATCTTAATTATAAATCTCACTATCAAATTACAATAATGTATTAATTGAAATTGGAGAAAATTTTGGAATTGATTAACATTAAGCCATATATGTTGAGTATTTACAGAATTTATTTTCGTCAAATATGGATAATATATTTATATATATTATATAATATTAAGTGATTAATACAGTAATAGAGGTTGTACTTGTACCTAGGTTTGACAATAAGCAAAATATATAAAAGGTGAAAGATATATTTAACTATACATTCTGTGAAATTGTATTTTCACCTAATATCATCAATACCATTAATTGTTTTTTATTTTATTATCAATCCACCTGCTTCTTTCGGTTGTGTTTTAATTACAATTTGATATTCCCTAATTATAAAAGAGATTTAAAGAAATCTGTCAGTGATTATTATAAAAAAAATGTATTTTCTCTATAGCTATTCTGAATCTCTGATTGTTATTGTTTTTCATGTGACCATAATAGATTTATGCAACAGTTATGGCCATTAACGACAAACCTGCTGAATTCATTGCTTATGGGGGGAAAAAAAAAAAATTAAATTCCTAGTTAAAAAAAAAAAAATTAAATTTTAATATTGTTGTCCTGTGGAAGGAATTTGATTACACACAGAGAAATGTGACTTGATAAAAAATAATGCACGTCAGAACTTGTCACATGGCCTTGTAACCATTAAAAATTAATTGGTTTGGTATGAAATTAAACTATGCATTACTTATACACAGTATATATTATTATTATTATTGGTACTTATGACTTTATTTATTTATTTTTCCAATTTTGACTCCAAAATACAAATCCCTCCAACAACAACGTGTTTTTCCTTGTAGTTCGAATACCATGTATAAGCATAATATAACATTATTAATATAAAGAACATCTATTAAACAAAATTATTTAATAATTAATACTACAATTTAGTTTCTCTTCATACATGTCGCATCAATTTAGGTTCGAGAAATTTCTAGTGATATACATTGAGACAAACTCCGACAATAGAATCCAAAAAATATATAACCGTCTAATCTAATAATTCACTCATTTTAAAATTTAAACTTCAAATTATTTCCCCAAGTACTATAAATATCCTCTATAGTTTACTCCTTCAAATCTTAAAATTAAGGAAGAATCAAATATTAAAAATATTAAGATACAAGTAAAAACTTTGAATCGTATTGTAAATTTTGAATCACAAAAAACAAGCCCTAAATGATTGAAATTTGAAAAAGAAAAAAAAGTTTAAAGATAAATTTGAAACCATATTCATATGCATGTAACAAAATATTAGATAAATGTAATAATCAAAGACATGATTTAGTGTTGAAAATAATTGTTATAAATAATTTAGAAGGGAAAGGATGTTTTTCAAATCTTTCATATCATGGTTGGTGGTTGATGGGCCAAAGAAATAGTAGGGCCCATTAAGTAAATGGGTCCAAGGAATAATTTACAACTTTTAAATTTTTATGCTGTAGCTTTGGTGGCCACTTGCCATGTGATCAAATTCTGGAAACTTCTGCTGCAATTCCCTTAGGAAAATTTTGAGGGAATGCTCGTTCCCTCTTAAATCAAGGAATCCGATTCCCAAATTTGAAAGAAATGGGTATCTTAGGACTAAGGAATCCTATGAAATTCCTTTCTTATCCATGTTTCAATTTTTCCCCCATATGTTAAAATATTTTTAAAATTAATTTACTATTCTGGCCTCCACATCTACGACATCGTCGTTGGCATGACTATGTTGTCCCATCATTGGTCATTGCTGGCCGGTGATATTGGCAACGTAACAAACAATCATTGTTTGAAAATACTGATAGATGATTGATCAGTCTTAAAATTTAAAAAAAAAAAAAAAGAATTATTTATATAAAAAGAATAATTTTATATCTATCGATACAGCTTTATTTATATTATTGAATAATAATAAAGTGTAAAATATTATAAATAATGTAATCGTATTATGTTGCTTTATTTGTTCCCATTCCCATCGACAAAACACCAACTCACTTTCACGAAGGGTGTAAAGTTATTTTCAAGCCACCTATCTCTCAAAGACTGGGGCAATTAAGATATGCGACAGATAAAGGGAGAGAAGCCCACTGTCATTGGTGAGGCTGTCGGGTTCCTCAAAATGTCTAGTGCATTACAGGTAAGCCAGCCAGCCATCAAGGCTTATCCAAACCCAAAATATACCACATTGAGACACCAAAATTTCTTTTGCCAAATTATAATTTTGAACTATAAATTTTATTCACTGCTTACTATCTTATAATTATTACGTATGGTTTCGGATGTCCTATTCTTAATAAATTCACAATTGTTAGATGTAAAAAATCTTATCAATCAGAGATACGTGATTGACAATTTTAAAACCACGTAGGATGTGTGTGTAATTCTAATGGATCAGTGATGGAATAATACGATAAAGAATGTATAGTAATTAACATAAAATATTAAAGAATCAAAAGATAATTTTTAAAGTGGTTCGACTATTTATTATAATACAAAACCTATGTCCACTATTATGTTATTGAATATACGAAGTAAGTGATTTACCTTTACAAGAGTTTCTAATGAGTTTTCTGTGTCTTATTTAACTAATCTCAATAAAATAAATTATGAAGTAAAATACAAAAAATAATTTATTCTTAAATTATAAAAATGTACCAAAGTTTGGGAGCTAAGCCCCTCTAAATACGAATAATATTGGAGGATTTAACTCTACCAAATTACTATTATAATATGCATGATCAACTGCCATTGACTGAAGAAATTGTAATACTATATATATATAATGTCTTTTAATATTTTTTTTCCGTTAAATGTAACGATAATTAACGGAGTCTTACTCCTTTTCAACCTATTTCTAAACTTATGTCCTTTTTCCTTTTATTTTCGAAAACATTGCCCTTAAATTGATAATATCCCTAAAATAAAAGTTATATTTAATTTTTAAAGAGGAAATAATATAAAATTTTAACTTTTGATGATATATCAGTATTATTTTAATTGGTTTTAAAAGATGATTGAAGATTTCTTTGTAAACAAATTAATTTTGTATTTATTAATGGTAAGTTATCAAGATATTAATAATTGAAACTTTAATTAAATTAAAATACAATTTTTAATTGAAATTATTTAAAGTGTTATTAGAAATCAAGTTAATTAAGCCAAAAATTAGACTTTGGAATATCAACTGAACTGGTAAAGCTTTTAAAGAATTTAGTTAAATGCCCTTCCAAGTTCATGAGAGAAGTTATTAGTGGCAAAAATCGAGACAAGGGTGGATGCAATACTAGTTGTTCTCAATTTAAAAAAAAAAAACATTAATATGTATCATTTCTGAATTTTGGTCCATCCTAACAGAAATATTAAATATTAATAGACGAAAATATTAACATGTAATTAGTTTTTATTTTTACTCATTCTAACAAAAAATTTTGGATTCACCCCTGAATCGACACATTTAAATCAAACAAGAAAGAGCTTGTTTCAATGCACTCTTTCTTAATCACCTCTTCAGCATTTTCTCCTCTCCCTCTTCTCTTTAAAATCAACACGAAGCCAACAATACTGAAAACAAGCCCAACTACTCCAGCCCAGCCGCAAGTCCAATTATCATAACCTTACCGAGTCCTCCACCACTTGAAGCATTAATTAATCCTGCTCGGAGGATCAGGTACCTCCGCTTCAATTTCGGGTGCCGGTGTCCTCCTTATGGCCAACAACTCGTCAATATCTGGTGCAGTTTCCCAATCCTTGTGCACTGGATCATACATTTTAACCTGGATACAACAACTTGGTGAACAAACCCAAATATCCCATTTCTCTGTTCCGTTGCATAACTCATTGACAACAGACACTTTGTGCAATTCTTACCACTACGATCCCGGGCGCATTCCACGTAACCATAAATTGAAAGATTATTCCATGCTTTAGTATGCGCAGTTACATATATATCTTTCATCATATAATGTGCCTGCTAGATTATATAAAAATTGCTTTACAGTGTTGTCGTAAGAAATTGGATAAGGTAACTTCACGCGGGTCGTTTACTTCAAGCTTATAATCTACATCGCTCTTGTTTAAGAAGTTATGGGATGAGTAACGGATCGTGTAGTAGGTATGCCAAACTTGAGCAGCTGTTGCGTTGGGACACACACGACGAATACTTAATACGCCTGATCAGTCAATGCAGGCTTGGCATGTAAGAGTAAAAACTGAATCTATAGATTATCGTCAATTATTCTTTAAAATGTGAAATAAATATTTCGGACCTGGTATTCTTATCGTTAGTGTTTAAGTGATTCACGGCAAAAAGACGAATGAGATTATTATTTTTTTTTTTTTTTGAAAACTATAGGGTGCTTCCTTCTTTATATTCAAAAGTGGTCCTTTGATTCTAAACCACATGATAAAGTATGTAAATGTATTCATATTATTAATCGAATGATGTTATTTTTTCTAATCATTTATTTATTTAAATATTATTTATTTTTTGTAGTTATTCAATATTTTATGTTCTTGTCCCTTGACTTAACCTCCTGATTGTCAATTGTGTTGCCGGACCTTTCTTCATGCAGCGGCTATGTCAACAAAAAAATTTTCAAATTTATTTATTTTTTGTGACCAGAAGTTCAATTAGCTTGCTCATACCTGATAATCCCTCGAGCTCCAAGTTAATATCGAAAATCCCAAGTGACCACCCTATTAGTAATCGAGGGAATGAACTCAATACTCTTGATAATACATCAAAGTCTTATCCTCCACCGACCACCAGGGTGGTTAATTTTTTTTTTTCAATTTTTTTTATTATATATCAATTTTACTCCTTAAATAAATTATTTTGGCCTCCATAGTCATTGAACTACATTTTAACCCCTTAAAATTTAAATCAATTTCTAGACTTTCATTTTCTCTACTTCAATCCTGGTTCCTTATTGGTTTGGACATGTCATAGATAACTATTTCGCTTGGAGAAAAATTCTTTATGAGTGCGGTGTTGTTTTATTCATATGCACTGATCACAGTAAAACACAAGGAAATTCAATAAAAACTTCTCGTTTTGAACGTATGCATTGAGAACTGAGTCGTCTCTTTATAAAAGCGTAAGGACCAGCAAATGCAGCCGCCTTAACCGTGGTGTTATTTGGCCCTCCATAGATTGAACTGTACATTTTAATACCCTTAAAATTTTAGTGCAATTTCTCGAATTTCATTTTCTCTACTTAAGTCCCTGGTTCCTCATTGGTTTGGACATGTCATAGATGACTATTTCGCTTGAAGAAAAAAGTCTTTATGTAGTGGCATGTTTGTTGACCTTTCATGTGTTTTGATGTGCCAAAACTATCCAAAAATTTGATTGATTACTAACCAAAACATGCTAAGGTATGACACAAGTCATAACCAAACTAAAACAGACTTGTTAGGTGGTATGACCGTGCGTAAGCAAATTTTTCAAAAGGTACGACTGCACGCTATTAAGGTACACCCATTCGGTAGAAGAAAATTGTCCAGATGAACGTGCCTCATTGCACGACCTCGTTCCTCATGGTCATCCATCACCCTACCAAAATGTGTGACACCTGCATGACCATCCTGCATGACTGTTCCATTCAAGTCAAAAGTCAAGATATTCAAATTCAGAAATTCTTCGCGCTCTTGACTATTTTCAAGGTCAATCAAGTCAAAACTCATGTATCAAAAGAGGCAGAACCGTTCTGCGTAGTGGAACGACCGTTCCTATTTGAAGAGTTTTTCACAATAGAGTTCTAGGAAACTGTGCTTGCTTCTAAAAAATCTTGTGAACCAATTTGGATAAGATCATTCCACATAGTGGAATGATCATGTGGTGTCTTCCCACGATCATATGGCATGGTAGAATCCATTCCAGAAACCCAAACCCTAAATTTGAGAAAATCTATCTTTTATGTTAGGAGCGACCATTTGTGATTATGGAACGATAGTTCTTCTCAGACTGCAGAACATTTTATTCATTTATTGTTTTATTAGAGAGGAAAAGCTGAAAAGGATGTGGTTCGACATAATATTTTATTAATTTAATGTTTTCTTAGGAAGGAAAGCAAAAAAGGATAAATTACAAATATTATGTGGGTGTAAATGGTATCAAAGCTTTGGAAGACGGGGGGTATAGGTGTTTATACCTGTTAACCTGTTGAAAGTTCTTTGATAGCATGAATAATGATTTAAATGATGAAGTCTGTTTAAATAAGACTTGTTTTCATTTAGATCATGGTCTCGAGGGAAAACCGGAGATCGGTTTGTTAAACAATGTTGTAGATAAGTTAGAGCTTTTGACCTAGAAGCTTGAAAACTTAGACAGGAGAGTGAATTATACGGTGTATCGTATATTTGCTCTAAACGAAGAATTAACCCAGATCGGGAATCAGATTGAAAAGGTTAATTTTGTACTTCAAAAGGTCAAAACACTTGAACGTGTTCTAACTATTTTACTAAGCTGGTGAAATAGGAGATGTCTCTGGTGCTGAGTGACATCGAACAAGTGTGGCCTATTGAAGGATATACTGAACAAGAGGTTAAACGGGTTGTGTTGGACCTCTGTAACGGCAACCCAGATATTCGAGAAGAATATTTGACCTGGCTAGGTGTAAAGCGACTTTTGGATGCTATTCAAAAGGCTTTTAGTCAAGGGTGCACAAAGATTTTGTGTTTTATTTGCCAGATTTCCACCATTGAAGTTTCTGAGCTAGAGCTTCGGAATAAGTGGTTGGAAAAGGTTGAGGCGGTCATTCCTTACTGGTACGGCGAATCCCAGCCGGATCCAGATCCTATACCATATAAAGAGTCGGACTTTGCAACCGAGTTGAGACCTGATTCAGATTGACCATGGGTGGTCAGGATGTTTTGGATCACTTCGCGGCTAGTTTGCAGAAAAAATATCCCGGATTGCCTCCAGGATATGCCCAGTTCGTGGCCAAAGAAACCCAAGGTGATTGGGAAAAGGCGGAAAAACTCTTTATGAAAGGTGTTAAGGAAGAAGACTTTGTTTCTAAAGTGGATGGAAAACGGAAGGTTGATATTCCAGAAATTTCTACCTCGGATGCTGAACAAATCAGCAGGTATTATGAGGAAGAAATGAAGAAACAAAGGAAAGGAGACGAAATTGGAGGATTAAAACTTACTCCAGGTCCTAAAAAAGCGGAGCTCGATGAGCTAATCTCGAAACTCAGGGAATCTGAGTTTAAAGATGATCCCCTTGAAGGAATTCGTAATCCTTTAAATTCTTTCGAAGGATTTCTTAAGGAAATCTCCAAACCCGAATACAAACCTACTTATCCTACAAAGATAAGGTCAGAATTTGTACCTAAGGGAATACCTAGAATGGTGGAGATACCTTCTAGCGGAAGTTTCCTAAACATCGATTGTGTTACGCATGTAACGGATGCAATCGAGGCATGGGAACTATTAACTGGGTTCATATCCAAAACAAAAATTTTGGACTCAGTGATACTTATAGGTTTCTAAGATCCACACTACAGGGAACTGTAGGAAGCTTTTGGAGAAGTCTAGAAGCTGGTACTGGTCTGTTAGATACTGTAAGGGACTTGAAGAATGCAGAGGCTATCTTTGCACTTTTCAAGGATATGCTCTGTCGAGAATTTACTGGGATAACTATTACTAGTAGGAATCTCGCAGAGGTAGTTGCCTTAGAAGCTTTGACAAAACTTAGGCTTTGTGACATATGTCTGTTTGAAAATTTCGTCTGTGAGTATAGGCGATATTTTTATCAGTTGCCTGGTGGCACACAGGAAGTCATGAAAAATACTTTCTTTGCTAAGCTTCCCCCAGGATGGGATAAGGCAGCAAACGAGGCGTTTAAGCTTCTACTTGAAAAGAATCAGGTTGTTGATTCTTTGGGAGGACGAATAGAAGCTGTTAGACAACTCGTGAGGACAAGATGTGTGAACGCCAAGCTGAATAAGGAAGCAAAAAGGCTTGAGTTCAACGAATCTTGTTGTCAAAACTTTGATGGCGTGCCAGGACAATATGGCTGTGAGTCGAGGAATTCGACTAAACATCAAGGTTGGAAAACCCATATGAGACGAAAAGGATCGTTTGGTAAAAGAAACTTTAAGCCTAAACGTTTTCGTAATATGGTAAAACAACCTGTTACTAGTAAACGGAATCTTCCGGATCATGGAAGGTTTATTAGGCGAACAGGGAAAGGTAGACTTAACGCTAAGGAACGCGGAGCACGTAAGTTTTGTGCTACCTGCCCATCTGGCAAAAACGCAAAAGATTGTAATTGTTGCTAGATTTGTGGTGACAAAAATCATTTTGCAGATAAATGCCCTCATAAGGGAAAGAAGAAGGCTGCGGTACGATTTTTGGAAGTCAACGCGGAAAGTCAAACTTCTGAATTTGAGCCAGTTTGGGGATACGAAATTGATTCTGATGATGAGGTTTATGAATTAATTTCGGATTACTCTGATGATTCAGATTCTTCAGAGGATGACTCAAAAGATACGACTTTTGAGGAACAATCTTCAACTCTTCAACGCGTAGGTATATTCATGCAACGGACTAGTAGTCTAAATGAATATCCTAGGAATAGCAGTATTGGTGATGAGGATGATCTTATCCCAATTAGAAATGAAGATGAAAACCCTAACTCGGTAATTAGTTCATCATCTAATTACGAGGATCACTCGGGTAACCCTGATAATTGGGTAATTCCGAGGTTAACACCTAGAGAGGTTTTTGAGAAACGCTCTAAGTGGCTATTTAAAGCTGAAGGCTTGGAAGATGTACACGAAAAACCTGTACGTCAATTTGCATTGTATCGTTTTTTTTGGCTCTCGTTTTCAACCTTCAAGATTTTTTCCTTATGTATGAATTCATCCGTGCTCTCAAGGCATGCACCAGAGGGATTATCCTCCTGCGATATACCTCGTGCGATCCGGTTTGTATGATAACTAGGATACAACCTTTGAAAGAAAACATTACAAGCCTCATCCACTTCTTCTGCTTTAGAAGATTTCAACCACTAATTCTTTGTTTCCAAAACTTGGAAAACAATGTGATCTTCTTCTTGCCTTAGTTTCATCGGTCTAAAACCGTTTCTCACTTTCGAAACTTCAGGCTTAGCAAGAATAGGGATTTTATGTCCTCCGAGGATAATGTGGTCGTTATCCTGAGTAAATGGCCTAACTTCTACTTGACCTCGCAGAAAGCTATTTCCGAGAATAAAATCTACCTCTAAGTAATCCACTACTAGGACTTCCCTTAGAGTGAATTTTTTCTCGTTTAACAGTACAACCACGTTTTCTACAACATCCGTGATCATACTTTGACCTCCATCTGCAACCGTATTTAGGATAGGTTTTTCCAATGGTTTCTAAAGCTCTTGTGGAAAACATTGCTTCCTTGCAATACATTTGGTTGCTCCTGTGTCTACAAGAATATCCAGAGTATATTCCTCATATTCTGGAAAACACAGTTTAGCACGTATGCATGTGTCAATAGTCCCCTGAACTATCACATGACAATGCATTTCATGACTCATCATCATTTTCGTGCTTGGAGTCTCTTCTTCATATACTGGGATTTGCACAGATTTATACCCAACTATTTTCCTACTATTGCTACTTCCAGCATCACTAGCAGTATCATATGTTTCCAGTATATTTTTCCTTGATATAATAGGTTGAATTTCCTTATTCCGCTCTGGAGACACCGAATTTCTAGGCGTAGGAAGAGTAACCTCAACCTCATTATCAAGTTCCTGGATTTGAATTCCCCGATTTGGGTTTAATTCCACCACGCTGGGCTACGTTGAATATCACTAGAAGCCATCAAGTCTTCTAGTCCTGAAGTATGAATTCGAAGAACCATAATCCGTTTAAGGTTTGGATCCTGGAGACTAACCATGTATCCTGGTTTAACAGTCCCGTAGGCATCTCCTAAAGCTAAGTTAGCATGAAAACCGCCAACTAAAGCTTTACCAAACGTAAGCCATCGTCTGTCCAGTAAGGCAACCTGAACAGGTACATTCATTCCTCCACGGAATAGACCCTGCACACGAATCTGTACAGCACCTAGTTGTACATAATTATACTTGCCATTTGCCCGTTTGGCAAGATTTCGAACCTTCCGTAGCCACTCATCATTCGAGAGTACTAATTCTCCCTCTCGAGACTGAGATAAAGCTACACGAACAGGTTTTTCGTGTACATCTTCCAAGCCTTCAGCTTTAAATAGCCACTTAGAGCGTTTCTCAAAAACCTCTCTAGGTGTTAACCTCGGAATTACCCAATTATCAGGGTTACCCGAGTGATCCTCGTAATTAGATGATGAACTAATTACCGAGTTAGGGTTTTCATCTTCATTTCTAATTGGGATAAGATCATCCTCATCACCAATACTGCTATTCCTAGGATATTCATTTAGACTACTAGTCCTTTGCATGAATATACCTACGCGTTGAAGAGTTGAAGATTGTTCCTCAAAAGTCGTATCTTTTGAGTCATCCTCTGAAGAATCTGAATCATCAGAGTAATCCGAAATTAATTCATAAACCTCATCATCAGAATCAATTTCGTATCCCCAAACTGGCTCAAATTCAGAAGTTTGACTTTTCGCGTTGACTTCCAAAAATCGTACCGCAGCCTTCTTCTTTCCCTTATGAGGGCATTTATCCGCAAAATGATTTTTGTCACCACAAATCTAGCAACAATTACAATCTTTTGCGTTTTTTCCAGATGGGCAGGTAGCACAAAACTTACGTGCTCCGCGTTCCTTAGCGTTAAGTCTACCTTTCCCTGTTCGCCTAATAAACCTTCCATGATCCGGAAGATTCCGTTTACTAGTAACAGGTTGTTTTACCATATTACGAAAACGTTTAGGCTTAAAGTTTCTTTTACCAAACGATCCTTTTCGTCTCATATGGGTTTTCCAACCTTGATGTTTAGTCGAATTCCTCGACTCACAGCCATATTGTCCTGACACGCCATCAAAGTTTTGACAACAAGATTCGTTGAACTCAAGCCTTTTTGCTTCCTTATTCAGCTTGGCGTTCACACATCTTGTCCTCACGAGTTGTCTAACAGTTTCTATTCGTCCTCCCAAAGAATCAACAACCTGATTCTTTTCAAGTAGAAGCTTAAACGCCTCGTTTGCTGCCTTATCCTATCCTGGGGGAAGCTTAGCAAAGAAAGTATTTTTCGTGACTTCCTGTGTGCCACCAGGCAACTGATAAAAATATCGCCTATACTCACAGACGAAATTTTCAAACAGACACATGTCACAAAGCCTAAGTTTTGTCAAAGCTTCTAAGGCAACTACCTCTGCGAGATTCCTACTAGTAGAGATGGCAATGGGCCCAACATTTTCGGGTACCCGGCCCGGCCCGGCCCGAAAGGGGCGGGCTTTACCTGAGGTTGGCGGGCTTGGGCTTGGGCCTGGGCTTGATTTTAAGGCCCGACCTCGGGTACGGGCCGGGCATGGGTATATCTTTAGGCCCGGCCCGTCCCAAAATTTTAGTATTAATTTAACTAATTTACCCTTATACTATATATTTAATTACAATATTATCCTACACACACACACACACACACACACACACACATATATATATGTATATCCTTTTTTCCCAAACCCTAACCTCAATTTTCATCCCATATTGAAGGTTTAACATGTTAAAAATTGCCTTTAAATGAGTTAGATGGGTTTGGTTCAATTTATAAAAGTGGATTTTACCGTAACATATTATGTACAGTTGAAAAGTTAGTATAATCAAATATTATGAAGTTTTAATTGCTCACTTATTGCTTAAATTATTTGCGGAAATAGCTTCAATTAATATTTAAAAACTATTTCTAAAATTAAAAATATAAAAAAAAATTGAAATTCATTAATATTTAAAAATAAATATTATTAAAAAAGGCGGGCTTGGGCCGGGCCTACGGTTATAAAAAACCCGTCGGGCCGGGCTTGGGCTTTGCCTATCATACCCGTAGCGGGCTCGGGCCGGGCTTGGGCCTGTGTCATGAGGTCGGGCTTGGGCCTGGGCCAAGGGGTACCCGGTCCCAGCCCGGTCCATTGCCATCACTACCTACTAGTAATAGTTATCCCAGTAAATTCTCGACAGAGCATATCCTTGAAAAGTGCAAAGATAGCCTCTGCATTCTTCAAGTCCCTTACAGTATCTAACAGACCAGTACCAGCTTCTAGACTTCTCCAAAAGCTTCCTACAGTTCCCTGTAGTGTGGATCTTAGAAACCTGTAAGTATCACTGAGTCCAAAATTTTTGTTTTGGATATGAACCCAATTAACAGTTTCCCATGCCTCGATTGCATCCGTTACATTCGTAACACAATCGATGTTTAGGAAACTTCCGCTAGACGGTATCTCCACCATTCTAGGTATTCCCTTAGGTACAAATTCTGACCTTATCTTTGTAGGATAAGTAGGTTTGTATTCGGGTTTGGAGATTTCCTTAAGAAATCCTTCGAAAGAATTTAAAGGATTACGAATTCCTTCAAGGGGATCATCTTTAAACTCAGATTCCCTGAGTTTCGAGATTAGCTCATCGAGCTCCGCTTTTTTAGGACCTGGAGTAAGTTTTAATCCTCCAATTTCGTCTCCTTTCCTTTGTTTCTTCATTTCTTCCTCATAATACTTGCTGATTTGTTCAGCATCCGAGGTAGAAATTTCCGGAATATCAACCTTCCGTTTTCCATCCACTTAACAAAGTCTTCTTCCTTAACACCTTTCATAAAGAGTTTTTCCGCCTTTTCCCAATCACCTTGGGTTTCTTTGGCCACGAACTGGGCATATCCTGGAGGCAATTTGGGATATTTTTTCTGCAAACTAGCCGTGAATTGATCCAAAACATCCTGACCACCCATGGTCAATCTGAATCAGGTCTCAACTCAGTTGCAAAGTCTGACTCTTTATATGTTGTAGGATCTGGATCCGGCTGGGATTCGCTGTACTAGTAAGGAATTACCGCCTCAACCTTTTCCAACCACTTATTCCGAAGCTCTAGCTCAGAAACTTCAATGGTGGAAATCCGGCAAATAAAACACAAAATCTTTGTGCACCCTTGACTAAAAGCCTTTTGAATAACATCCAAAAGTCGCTTTACACCTAGCCAAGTCAAATATTCTTCTCGAATATCTGGGTTGCCGTTACAGAGGTCCAACACAACCCGTTTAACCTCTTGTTCAGCATATCCTTCAATAGGCCACACTTGTTTGATGTCACTTAGCACCAGAGACATCTCCTATTTCACCGGCTTAGTAAAATAGTTAGAACACGTTCCAGTGTTTTGATCTTTTGAAGTACAGAATTAACCTTTTCAATCTGATTCCCGATTTGGGTTAATTCTTCGTTTAGAGCAAATATACGATACACCGTATAATTCACTCTCCTGTCTAAGTTTTCAAGCTTCTGGGTCAAAAGCTCTAACTTATCTACAATAGTGTTTAACAAACCGATCTCCGGTTTTCCCTCGAGACCATGATCTAAATGAAAACAAGTCTTATTTAAACAGACTTCATCATTTAAATCATTATTCATGCTATCAAAGAACTTTCAACAGGTTAACAGGTATAAACACCTATACCCCCCGTCTTCCAAAGCTCTGATACCATTTACACCCACATAATATTTGTAATACCCAGTCTTATAAATATTATTACAATTAATTACTAAACAACTTAGTTAATTAATTGGAGAGAAAATTCATAGATTCAGTTTAACAGATTAATTCATACCTGGATATCGATCGTCTTGAATGGATCTTTTTTCTTGTTTCGAGTATACAATCAAAAGTAAACAAGAGATCGAGAGAATTTTTCAAAACTGATCTGAATACAAATGTACAACGCTTCTCTTTATATAGAGAAGTTCGGATTTCAAAATTTTTGAATCCGTAGATAAAATATCATTTACAAAACACAATGTCAATCACAAAACATGTGATTTGACTTTTAGCCTAATAAACATACACATGTAACTAAAAGAAAGTAAAGAAAATATGACATGGGTCCATATGTCTCCCATGTTTTAAACAAAAGTAAATTATTATAATTTATACATGTTACATAAGACAATACGACACAACATTCAAGATTCTCTTTAAATGTGCTGCATTAGATTTTGTCGGCAAAATCTTGGCTGTCCACGTATTGCTTCCGCTGGTTGGATACACGTCAGCGTATTACGTGTTGGACGTTTCCGGTTGT